GACTCGAATTTACAATCACTTGGCTAATTTTCTTGCTTACGTTTAGCTAGTGTGCCCAGAAATTTGGTTTTCTCCTACTGAGCGGTCAGTATTGGGCCCGGTAAGGGGAAAAGAAGTTGGCTTTTCCTTGGCCGATGGCCTGCTAATCCACCAGTGAGCTGTCGTAGCGTCTACTACATTTAAAAATAACACTTAGCCCTGGGGAAACCGCTCTCATTCGTACGTGACAGTACAGCACTGCACTAATGAAAAAATCGCTCAAGCGCCAGAATAAGCCATTAATAGTACATCAGTTTCTGAACCTTTCTAACTAATAAGGTCGCAAATCCAAGGCGTTTGTTGTACGGGGCGCATTTGTGAGCTCGCTTTTCTCCAGTTTCAGTTGTATCAACTGTGCTTACTGTGAATAGAATGTCATGAAGTGGTTGTTAATGTTGTCGTTAAGATTGTTTGCTAGCCAGTACGGAAAGTTTATCAAATTTTCGCGCCCTCCTTCCGCACTGTAGAGAAGGCCCTGGCGTGATTGGTACATCACGGCAGGTAGTTGCACCTCATAGTAGTTTCGTGACTTTTTATACGATTTTTCGTTTTTCTTCATTCCGTGACACTGCTTCTGCGTGTGCACGCTTTTACGTGTGCTTGCGTTTTCGTCTTCGTGTTTCCAAAGTTGAACGAATATGGTCTTTGCCTTCAAAATGAAATAAAACACTCTGGAAGGAAAAGAACTCGGAGCGAGCTTAGCAACACAGAGGACACCGCGTTTATAGATTTGAATCAGTAAATGTTTGAACGTCACTCACACACCATATCAGAGGTCTCAAATTTGGGTTATCAAACTGTAAAACGAAGTGCATATACATCAATGTTCGCGTAAAACACGTACCCTCAAAATGTATGTACAGTCGCTTCAAAAATTAACAATGTAGATAACATTGTGCCTGGCACACCACTTCTTCAACAAGCTCAAGTACTCCAGATCGAGAAATTTTTCCTTCTGGAATGGAGTTTGTGATGAGTTCCAGAAAAGATTCCTCTTTGCTAGGCTTAGTTGCGCTCAGCCTATGGAGGGATCTCTGAGGGAAAGGAAGGTAGGAAGCGACGTTTGGCTGCGATGACAGTGATATCACTGATGTGCAAGGCTGGGATGGAATTGTGTTCCAGCGGCTGGAGAGGTACTTGAGTGGGAAACTTGAGGGGAGCGAGGCTGTTGGTCAGGAACAAGCTGGCCTTTTTGGAGGAGGGACAAAATTCAAATGTTGTTCTTGTGATGACCTCCTTGACACAAGTGCGGAGTGAAAGCTGACAGCTCGAGCTAAGACAAAACGGGCCATTTTCGGGATTAGTTCAAAATGGGAGGTCATTGGAGAAACCGCTGTAAGCTAGAATAAAAATGTTAGTGTGTAACAGAGTTATATTTTAACTGGTGATAAGAATGGATAAGTTGTACGATCGTTGTTGATCGGTGGAATTTGATCTGGAACAGCTGATCTGTAATAACTGTGAAAGTGTAAGATGAAAACTCTCTTTCCAATACAAATCCAACGCCATATACTGCCACAGGACGTAAGTCTAGCGAAAATGGCGTTTTGTAAAACAGTGGAAGTTTCTTGCCAAAGATCCTAGGTTCCACGGCGTCTACAGAGAAACCAGTCTTTCTGTGAGTTGTAAATAGTAAATTACCATGGAGGCAAAATCGCCATCGAATTTTTCCTGGGCAATCATCGGAAGATGGAGCCATCGACAGTTTTGCAAACGGGTGTTGAGTTGACTTTGATAAATAAGCTTAACTATTATGAAATTTACAGCAACTGAAAGTTGTAGGCATGTTCTGTAATAAGTCCGCTTACAGATTCTCCAGGCCTACAGATTGTAAAATTGGCTTTTTGAAAGTAAGCCTGAGGTAAAGATAATTTTTGAGTTGTTATGGAAGGCCAAATTATTTTTACTAAATTGCATTTATCTGGGTTTTTTCGTCATATCGCATTTTGAGCCGGTCATATTTCTTTTGACCTTGCATTTAAGTGCAGTGTTGGCCTCAAACAATTGCTGGGAGGATGTTTGGCTGCTCGTAATGTGGTGGAAGGATTGCTTGGTCTCAAATGCAGAAGCATTACCCGGATACGTTTTTTTCACAGCTAAGTATTCGTGCAGTTCCTCTGTTTTACCAGATGTTACATATGACTGCGATACTCATTTATTCTAGTAGATGCATCACTAGTTTGCATGCACTATCCGCTTCTTGGTGTCCTCGGGCCAATTCCGGCAGCCTGGGCTGTGGTGATCATCTGCCTTGGTATGATGAATATATTCCTTGTTGACTGAATACCAAATACTGGCATTGCAGAAGTTTCATTGATTTGTTGCCTTTTCCTGTTGAATTGCTCTTTTGAGCTTACTGAAAATGTTTGGGAAAGAGCCGAGAATGAGCTTGCCATGTTGCTCGTTGCGTTTTTTGATTCGGAAACAAGAAAATTCATCGCTCTGGCAGAATGAGGCTAGGCGGAAGCTAATTATTACTTGTATAAACAAACCTAGTAAATTGTGTCTTGTTTGTGATACAGAATAAATGCCAGTATGCACTGATATCAATTTTTTGAATGTTACCCGCAGCACTTTCACATTCTGTCAACACTTTTCGTCACCAACTACCCATAGAAAGTACTGCCTCTCTTTTATACGGTGCGGTAATTGAATCCTATCAGCATTAGTATATGCATGCTGTTTGTTTTACGTTTTAAATTTTATTCAGTCGCCATGCAGGACGTATGTATACTAGCATACACACATGTCATGCGCTTGATAGAAAGCGAAACACAAAAGACAAAAAAGCACCTCATTTGTTTCTGGTCTCTTTTGGTTTTATTTCGTTGGCGCATTTGAAAAGTCGGTGATACCGTCATTCCACTAAGCGCAGAGAATAGGTCGCCTGCTGTTGTTTTACGTGAACTTCTTCTCACTATAGGCATTTGTAGTAGCTTGACTAGCATTTTTTTTTTTTGAATTGCTCATTACGCCGGGACTGAAGGCACCCCCCGAAGCCGACTTTTGCACATCATTTTTATCTGTTATTATTGTTGATAACTCCGCGGCGTGTATGAAAAAACCCCTTTTTTTTAGGTGTCGCTAGTTCTCCTTTTTTTGTCCCCGTAAAAAAACCTCTGAGAAATTATCACTGGCAGTACAATCATTTGTATTTTTGTGTAAAGTCTGGTACTCTTTCAGCTGGAAGAAAGGGAAAAGGAGTGATTATGCTATTAAAATTATTTTCAAAGGCAAAAGTTAACTGAAAATGATTTTAACGGGGTTTTTTGGAGGATACGTCTTTATCCTTGTTGAAAATAACTCTCGAAGCTATTGTTTTATCGTTTTTCACTTATGTAGTAAAGTAATAAGTGCAAGGATTGCTCATTTTTCAGATTTTTGCGATTTGCTACCTCAATTTGCTTGTTTACCTGAATAAAGCACCTTTTGATTCTTTGGAACACGCACGGCTGGCTGTCAGTTATTACTGCTGATAATGATGAGGTTCATTTTTTTAATCAAAATTTGTTCAAACATTTTATCCGTTAGGAATTTTGTTCAAGCTGGATAAAAAAAAAAAGATTACAACATTATATTTGACAAGCACGCTGCGCAAAGACCAATTTTAGTTGATTAGAGTTGCACAAAGTTAGCAGAATCTGCCAAGTAACTATGAAATTAAACAATGTTTGTGCATTCTTAGGTCGAGGTCAATCTGGCTGACAATCACCTGTGGCATGTGCACACACCCCACCACTGTCATGCTTTTTTGCTTTATATTTCAGATATTCCATTGTTTGGTCTGCTTTCTTAGCTATAATAGTCAAAAGTAGGAGGATTTTCGCTTCAGTTTTTCCTTGTTTCAGATTTGAAACAATCAACGCTATTGCAGCACTCAACGCAGCCGTTGCTGCCGCCGACAAAATCGGTAACGTTTATGCGCAAATCATTGGGTTTTATGGTACCAGAATTCCTTAGGATCATTTGACTATGTGACAGTAAGTACCTAGCCCCTGACTAACACTCTAATAACTGTGGCTTCATGAGAAGCGCACGTGTTTGCTGAGATTTCGGCGTGATGCCCTGATGGTCGAGGGAATAATCGCCTTTCGCAGTCTTTCCCGTAGCGTCGGTACCAGATAGGGTCGCTACTCTTTTGCGTTCGGGTGCCATCGCATTTGGGCAATAGAAAATCACCTGAAAATTTCCATACACGAAAGGTCGAAGCCGATTTCTGCAAACAAGAGGTCGAGTTTTACATTGAGGACAACCAAAAAGGGTATCGGCAAATTATCAGAGGTAGCTGCAGAGTGTCTGCTTCCAAAAATCACTTTCTTGACAAAGAATTTACTTGTCTTCTTTTGGATGTCTATAGTGAGACCTAAACGTATATGAAAGATGATATTAAAGCGGGAGTATTACGTATGGGAAAAACACGAGTCGAAAGTGGTGACAAACTGTGAACAGATACACAAAAACACACACATACATATACCTCTTACCAAATATGCGTTTTTACATTTCCGCAAATATACAAAAATGCTTAAAAAAGAACGGATCACAAAACTCTACACACTTGGTGCAGCAGTGCCAGACCTGACGGCATCACACTTTCCTAACAACGCCACTCTCCCGAAGAAAGCAAGAAATTTTCCTAAGCATGCTGATTTTGAAATTCACTCCTGAGGTTTAACATTTTCCCGAAAAGCTGTGTGTTAGGTATGAAATCTGTTGTGCGCTATCCGCAAATCGAGTTTATCAAAATTGCATGAAGGAGTGTGTAAGAAAAGTAGCGTCCACTTCCGAAACTGGCATTTTCAGTTGTCCCTCCGTTTTTCCAAATACCTGATTGGCCTACAGAAATCCGCTGCGTAACGTTTTCAAGCTGAATTCTGACGAATCTGGAAGCATTCCAAAATGCTTACGACTACTCGCTGTTTAGCGCCTTAAGGTGTGTTTTGCAATTGTCTGTTACATTTTTGACTTCAGGCACGAAACGAGTGTACTACTGCCAGCGGTGCCTCAATCACAATCGTCTGGAACCGCGGAAAAACCACAAATGTGAATGTGCATACGCAAATTGCGCCTGTAACAAATGCATACTAGTGGAGAAGCGTCGAGTGCTGAATACTCAGCTGCACGAGCTGGAAGATGTTGCTGACGTGGAAAATGAGGCTGACGCGGGCGAACATTATGGCTTGGTTGGCAGACCTAAAGGAGGTAATCCACTTCACCGGGTCGGATTAGTTTCACTGAGCGGTTCCCGTGCTTGACTGTTTTTGGTTGACAGCAGCCTAAATAATATAAAATAATTTCTTTGACTTAACCATTTACGATTTTGTTATAAAGATTAAGATTTGTGCCATACGAGTGGTTGGCGTTCATCTTAGAGTTAGCACAAACTGGACGACTTTGTACCCACTTTCAAATCCAGAACCAGAGTAGCCAAGAAGGTGAAATTTTACGAACGTCTTCCGCCCATACATATTGTTTGTATATTCCAAAATCACCACTCACATACGCCTGGATTTCATGTACGGACATCAAAAAACATGCAAATTTTCTGGCAGGAAAACGATTTCGAGAACCAGACAAGCTAGAACGCTGAAGTTTCACAGTGATGTTCCCCTTCCATGTACGGGCTGAAGACTTCAAATTCAGCTATCGCGCGTACATGCGCCACGCGTGCGGTCACGTCAAAGTTCTGTGACAATTCGAGAACTGACCGGGAAACGATAGGCGTAATTTTGCCAGATTATTTATTATCCGTCTTGGAACTCGGGCACCTGAATGGAATTTCGAGTCGCATTTGTGTTGCACCTTAGGACTCGTTAAGGATATTTGTGGGAAAGTGACAATTTCGGGAACCGGACAAGCTAGAAGGCTGAAATTTTACAAGGATATTCTACATTCACGCCTGATCTAAATTTAGTTAGCTTTCCTGTACGCAAATACGAAAAATATTCAATTTTAATGGAACCTTAAAAATGAATACATTTTGCGGATTTCGTCATCCTTCTCTCTCTCAGCATCCATTATCAAATTTATGTTTTTCAATTATCGACCGGTCACCGAAAATTGCCTCATGGTACATGTCCCCTGTTATGCATCCCAGTCCCATTATGATACAACACTATCGCCTAAGCTTCTGGAACCGGAGAAGGTGGGAAACTGAAATTTTGCGAGGTTGTTCTATGTCCTTGTGAGAGGTAAAGATTTTAAATCCAGCTTTGGTGCATGCCTACGTCAAGGGTATGGACACATCAAATTTGTGACTGAAACATCGCTAATAAAATGCCAGCTTGGGGACTAAGCTGATTAGGGTGCTCTAACTTTGTAGCAGTATTTTTTTTTTCCATATATAAGCGTGTAAGCTTAAAATGAGCTTTGATGCTCGTCTGTGTCTTGTATTTGGATACGATTTCGCCAACTAGTCATGCTGGAGAGCATAAATTTTACGAGGATATTCTGTGCCAGTGTGTGACCAAAGTAGTACAAATTCACCTTTGAAGCACGCACGCCTTCTCGTATGTACGCCTTCGTTTCGCATGAACACAAATAAATGAATTGATTCCGAATATTGTTGGAACCCAATTAACTCGGTAACCAGACTGAGCAAAGGTACTTTTTTTTGTAGATGTATACTGTTCCTGCGCGGCCCATAAGACGTAAGTTGAACTTCTTAGGCATGGGCTTTGCCTGCAAGCGCACCAAATGTTCAAATTGCAACACTGCAGTCACATACCATTAGTGCTGGCGATCTTTCTACAGGATGGAATCATGCAAAAGCGCATGGTCGCACCGGCAAGTCTGGTGCGTCGCTACCTGGGTTTACATTTTGAGAGATTTGTTCCTTGTTGTTGCCTGCACAGCCGTGTATGCTTCCTGTCCGTCGCCTTTTGCGTCACTTGTAATTTAGTTTTTCAAGCATAACTGCAACTGCTGCTTTTTTAATAGTTCTCAAAAACATGTTTTTAAAGAAGCAAGGGGGAGGGGGTAGAGTGCAACAAATTTTGCTCTCACGAGTAGTTGCGCGATCTTTCGTCTCGTAAAGCCATAATGAAGCCTTCACACAGATAGTGATAATAATAATGTTTGAAAAGTGTTTGCGGTGCGAGACAGCGTATAATTGACCGTCAAGATAATAAGCGAAATATTTTACAAAAGGAAGTCGGCAAGCAAAAATTTTTGACTTAAACTCTGAAAGGATAATTGAGTCAGACTTTTTCGTACAATTAAACATCAAGTTTCTCAGCTGATGACTGCTTGTTCCACTTGCCACACAAGCGCTGGAAATACAATAACCAGATAAAGAAGCAAGCAACTTGATTTTCAGACGATTTTTCTGGCTCAGTCTGCACCAGCTGACTACCGCAATCATCATTTAAAGATATCAACTGAGATAATCTGTGTAGCTCTGTGGCAGGATTGTTATAGGCACGTTTTTGTTGAAGCTATCTTCGGGCTGGTGGTCATTCGCAAATCCAAATTCACGAAGCGCTTATGTTGCTACTTCTCTGTTTCATTTCTGCCGCACGAGATTTGTTTTTTTGCGCTTAATTTTAATTAAAAACATGTGCTGGTGAAATCATGGGTGTAAGCATGTGGGTGTGCATGTTATGTTTGTTTATGTGTGTGTTTTTTGTAATCATTTGTCCGTGTCTGTTTGTGCGTCATGTTTGTTTATTTGTTTGCGTACGTGTTGTGTGTGTGTGTGTGTGTTCATTTGTGTGTCCATGTATGATTGAAGTCAATGTCTGAGAAAGCCAAGGAAGCTAAAATTTCGATGAGACAAAAGTGGATAGTACAGAAGGGCTCGACCTAAATTCAATTTAACGCTTCTGAATATTTTTAGATTTAGTCGATTTTACAGCCTGAAGACGAAAAGCACTGTGAATTTGAAACTGAACGTTTTTTTATCACTCGGAGCTGGAAATAGCTTTTAAAATTTCGCTTTGTCCTGACCCTTTGTCTTTATACCGGTAACTGAGGCATATTAGTTGGTTCATTTTTTTTACAAATTACACACTCAAAAACAACGCTACATATGTTTAGCAACATCCGGTACCTTATGAGTCGAATATGTTTGGTGTCATTAATAGCATGTTACAGTATTATCAAAATTATTTTATTATCACATTTGGTCGGCTCAGTAAAAGTGAGTAAGACTAGTTAAGACAGGAGATGGCTGCATTAGAAAAGCTGGTGCGCAACACTGTATGGCGCAATGTGCTTGTAACTCGGTTGTATCAGGTTTTATTAGGTCTAGTGCGCAGCAACTTTTTGCAGATAGTGCGACTGCTCCGGGATAGGGCTGGGAATTGAGCTGCTTAGGTGTTCTGGACAGTATCTCTTATGAACTGTAGCAATCTGGATTCCAAACAGTGCTCTGTTGTGCTTCGAGGTGGTGGGGTAGTTTTCTGTATGAATAGCATTGGTTTCGGTAAGTGCCAGGAGGCCAGTGCAGATGCACATTTTTGCAACAGGCACCCAGTAGCTAAGTTCACTAGCATGCACACTGAATTCGTCACACTGATCTTTTAACCTACACATCACATAAAAATCATAAAATCTTCGAATTCGTGCCTCTCGCCGTTTTGGATCCAATAATGAGCATATAATCACAGATTAAAACACAATAAAATTTGAGAATTAATTTCAAGCCACTCACACAGTTTCATGATGAATTTAAATATCAAAATTTTGAATTTCTAGCTCTTTCGCTCTGAAATTACTGAATTAAGTTGAATTTCTACTTGGAATTATAGCCCAGTACGCAGAGATGCGGGCTTGATTTCAGACTGGTTTAGCTCATACTGCCTGGCGGTTTTATCATATCGTCGCCTCTTCTCCCTGACTCCTTTTTTTCGACGTTTTCATCTTTGCTCATTAAGAATATGTAGAATTGAGTTGAGGTCATACCTGAGATCAAATTTGGACCTGGCAACACGAATTTTCAGTTTTATTTTCCGAAGATTTTCGGAGATTGGTATTGTTTGCAGGAATTCATCTTCAATTCATGAGAACAGATGTAGGCGTGATCTCACTGCGTCTGATTTTTGGATTAATCAAGTATGCTACACAAAAAGGCTTTTCTTGAAATCTGCGAGATGTTTCAATGAAACTCAAAACAACCGCAAAGATTGCTTTTGTTATTATTATTAGTCTAGTTATTTTGATTTCTGAAATTTATATGCATGCTGGTCACACATTTTCTCATAAGTGGAAGTAATTAGGCAGGGAATGAATACGATGCGCATGCGCAAGAGTAGAAATCCTGTTCGTGAGTAACGCAGAAATCCCAGTGGGGTGAAGAGGTATTCTGCGATGAAATTGTTTACCATTCAAGATCAAGGGGAATCTGGCGTCAGCACTACTCCGTTTTAGGTGTGGAATAAGTCGTTTTAGCAAGCGTGGAACTGCAGTGTGAAGCAGGTGTAACTGAACCACGATACAATTTTAATAGGATTTGTGAAAAAAAAGTATAAAAATTGTTGAACAAACACAAGTACAGACGACTGCAGTCATTTGCTAGTGGTAAATTGTAGCGACAGCAACAGTGTAATGATACAGCTGACTTGTGGTGTTGCGCATTGTAAGATAGTATTTCGACTTTTGAGCACTTTTACTTTAGTTTCAAAAAAAAATATTTGCTGCAACTCATTTTGTACGTTTTCACCTTTCGGTTAAACCAGCTTTAGAACTATGAAATCCATAAAACTGAAATTTTGGAGACAAAATCCCCGACATGTCTTTTTTGTTTTTGCGCCAAAGCCAGTTTCCTGACCCCTCAGGTCCTGAGCAAAACTGAAAATACGAAACTAAGATTATATTTTGTCTGATCATGCGAGGTGATTGGCTTGAAAACAGCTTGAGAGCGTAACTTCACTTCCAAATTCGGGTCGACTTTATGATATCAAAGCGAGACAAGCCATAAGCTCGAAATTTTGTGATTTCAGTTTGTCATGAGAAACAAAGTGAGTAACGTTTATAAGCCAGTGTTCAGGCTGCTTTTATGAGTTCGAAACTAAATGAGCCAACACTTGAAATTCGGAATTCATCTTGTGTTGCTCATTACGAGGCTAGTGGTGTAGAATCAGCTTTTTATTCCAGAACAACTTATTTCAATTTTCTTGTCCAGTTTTAGCTTCAGCACTAAGCAAGTCACACACCTCTATGTAGTAATCCTGAGAAAGTTGACCATGAATCTGAAGTTTGTTCGAACGAGCTAAGTGAAATAATACGAGTTTACATTTGTTTTACTGACGCATTCACCCCCAGTGCACCTTCAAAAATTTGTCCACAAGCGAAATTTTTGCCCGGAAGACAGAACAAAGTATCATAAATTGAAGGCAAAGAAGCAAAGGGACTCTGTTTTGGCCAGGAACGCCATCCTACTCGAAGAGCGCGAAATTTCGAGTGCGAAGCTGTTTTTTTGGAAGTTGATCCGCTGCTGGTAGTTGTAACGACAATTCGTTCTTTTGAGAGCGAGAGAGCTTGAGAGAGGAGGGAGCGTTTCGATCGTGCAGCGCGCTTTTTGAGGATCGGTAGGGGGAAGCATGGTGTTGGTAGCTAATAGTGGCTAGTTGTTTATGTTAAGCTAGCTAGTTCGAAAAAAGTGAAGTACTTTTGCATCTGCTCTCTCCACCCCTCCTGAATGCACAAGAAACCTGCTACTGCTGCTACTCGGCCTGTTGTTGATGTGTTGGAAACATTGTCGACAAAAAACTCGATTTGCATAGTTGTTGTTCGGCTCCTCTAGATTATTCCCGAAGGTTCTGCCTTCGCTAATTTAGCCGACTTTTTCAGTCTAGGCTAGTTTGGACTTCTCCCTTTTTGCACTGCTTTTCGAGCTGTTTTTTGCTTCTAGCACTAGTGGCTTGCCGCTAGCTTGCCCAGCGCAGCTGTTTGTGTAAATCCAGCCTGAAGCACTCGTTCTCCAAGTTCCTACCCTCTCGTCCTTTCCCTCCTTCCCTCGCACCATCGTCCGCTTCTCCAAGCAACATTTGTTTACACCGGACCGTCCGTCTCATCAACAATTATCACTCATCCTCATTTTTTCCCTTTCCATCCGGAATAATTTTCAGAGCTTTCACAAAAAATACTGCTTTTAACTATTATTGTTATCAGCAGTTCCCTCACTGCTACAACTGCTGCTACGCTGCAACTGTTTCTTGCCCCTAGCAGTGGAGGGACGAACGTTTAGACACTGGGTGAAAATAGAAACAGCAACTGGTTGATGGCCGGCGTTCTTTCCAATTGGACGCTTGCGTCCAGTGTTCGCAAACAGAAATATACTTTTGCAGTAGTGGTGTGAGGCATTTGCTGCTAGGCACTCGCTTCTCGCTACTCACTTTTCGAAATAAGCCCAACGCTGTCCAGTAAACCTTCCAGTCAACCGTAAGATCCTTCCGCACGTGCCATACAACTCTTTTGTTCCCACATTCCTGCAATTCAACATTTCATTGATATATGGAACTCATTCTGCCCTGAATACGTATGGCCACTTTAGGCGTATTCATTATCCGTTAACTTGCATTCCTTCCGTTTATTCCAAATGACTTACGCGCTCTCTGTTCTTATTGCTAATGGGATTTGACATGACACAACTGGGCTATTATGCGGCTACGCTTGGACAACACACAACTTTCACGTCACTTCCGCTGATCAGTTGCATGCAGACTGTTCCGCAGCCAGACACTGTACCCGTCTCAAGTTCGTTATCCGTCATATTACCGTAAATGGTCAGTAAAAGCAATGATAAAGTAAACCGCTGCCCACACCAGGAATACTGGTGCCAGGCATGCGTCAAACGCAAAAAATTGATTTGAAAATCTTTTTCCGTCGTTTCTTGCTTAGCGTGCAAGTCTTGCACAAAATGCATTTTCGAACTGCTGTAATGAAAAGCACTTCCACGACAGATTTCAGTGCTTTTAAGCTGTTTTAAGTAACAGGGTAGTTAAAATAGATTCAGATGCAACAGTTGAAATGATTGTTAAGCCGTTCTTGATTGCACATTCACAAATGACATGACACTTCGCACATCTTCCCCCATTAAAGCTTAACTGGCAGTACACTTTCGCGCCCAAAACCACCAAATCATCCCTCCCCCCCCGTCCTCCCCTCCTCTCCTCCGTCTAATATTACAATCTGTTCAGATCCCTCCGTCAGTACACAAATTAATTTGCAATTCGGCGGGCCTCGCGCACGGTGACTGCCAAAAAAATAGACGCTGATTCAAAAACGCGTAATATACTGTGCTGGCCGATTTCAGTCCGACTTGGCTGCCTTGTCGAAATGGATGTGTCAGTTTTCTGAGTGCTCACTGATACATATTTTGCGATGGGAATTAAGCTGAACGTTGTGCTCATAAAATTTCAGCTTTCTTGCCTGCCTGATTTTCGTGTAGAAAGGTCGTTAACATATTTGCAGTCTGCGTCCTGAACGTGAGGTGCAGGCATGCTAGGAAGCTGATTTTACTGTTTTGGAGTTGCATTAGGTTAGGTAACGCCATCGTAAAATTTTACTTTTTTAGTCTAATCTGATTTTCGGGAGAGGAAGGTCCAGTCAATTTTTTGCAAATTAAACTGCATGAAATTTTGCATGTCCTTACGCGAGACGTAGCTGTGCGTAAAAGCTGGTTTTGCTGTTTTGGTTTTGCACAAAGATGGCAGACATTCCCGTAAATTACAGTTTTTTGTTCAGACTGTTTCGCGAGTTAAAAAGACGCCAATAGTACTCCAACTTAAACTTTCGCTTGGCGTACACGACAAGTAGATTGTATAAGAACGATGAAATCCTTTCAAACGTGGACAGGGAGCATCCTCGCAATGTTTCAACTCTTATAGGACGGAGGTGCAGGCACACGTGAGAGTTTATTTTGCGTTTACGGGATAGCGCATGGGCTGGAAAAATGATCATAAGATTCCAGTTTCCTCGCTTCTCTGAATCGTGATTACGAGTGTGTGACAAAGCCCGCAAACACAAACATTTGCACAGACAGTGTGCATTTCATCAGCGATGCAAAAACGCATAATAATTTGTTCGTGAAGGATCGGAATAGTGCGTTACAAACCAACAAATTGAACTTTTTTGTGCGAGGGTATTAGGCTAGGAGCAGGGTGCTCTGATGGGATATCGGCGTGTGTTTACGTTTTTTAACTGAGTTATAGAATTTAGAAAAGGGGGGATTTTGCAACTACATTTTTTAACAAACTGGTAAAATGGCTTTCAACTTACACTGATCTGAAACCTCGGATTCGCATCCCAGCTGCTTTTAAAATAATTATGCCACTGCATCAGCATTCGTACAGATCTGGGAAAAGCGCGTATTTTAGAACGTGTGCCGAATTGTCAAAAATGTGGACAGCACGGAAGAAAGTCGCGGCTTAAAGGACACAAACGTGTATGCCCCTATCGAGACTGCGATTGCGCAAAGGTATGGCAACAGTTTTCTAAACATTCACACCGCTTTTACTGAAATTAAAACATTCTGATAATCCGATCCGGAAATTAAATGTTTCGCCGAAAAAAGCCCTGTAACTTTAGTGTCAAGTAGTGAGTGAGCGACAGAAATTGATGGCCGATCAGATAAAAATACGACGGCGACAACGAAAGGATACGTTGCTGAACATAACCCGTGAAAACATTACGGCAACACTGAACGCAGCAGCTGCGGTAGCCGCATCCGGGCCGCTGCCATATTTCCATAATTTTAACGCACTCATTTGTAAGTTTCATTCCGTAACTCTCCAACAGAAGCCTGTTTATGCCTGTTTAGCAGAAGCAGCAAATGGCATAGTAGCTCACAGAACTTCTCAGCAGCATCTCCACTTGTAAAAGTAACAGTAATAATAACGGCAGTAAAATTATTGATAACAGCAGTAATACAGTTACGAGTAATAATAACAGTAATAATAATGATAACAATAATAATAACAACAAAAATAATGATAATAATAATTGTGATAAATAAAGATCGGAATGAGCATATAGATAGGCACGCACTTATTTTGAAGCCAAAAATAATTTGACTTTTTTTTTACAAAAACTGTCGCAGCAAAAGTAAATCCAACCCAGGAAACTAGCCCCATTAGTAGGCGGTAGCGCGTGCTTATCTGTGTGTTTTACATTTAATAATTAACATTTTGCATGTTCTCATTGTTGAATAAAGTCGTTTTTAGACAAGCAGCTACAACAGAATATGCGACATCCAGTAACATTCCTACCTGGACAGTCTCCGCCCTCTGAAAATACCCTCGAAACAAGTTCCTTTTGCAATTCTTCTGGCACTGCTTTGAACAGCTATTTGGCCAGCTCACCCTCGGATTCGCTAAAGCGACAGCAACAGCAGCCGTCCCCACCAGCATTGCCACATTTGCAGTTTTTATTCCAGCCCCAGTTCACTACAGCAGTAGCAGCAGCGGCAGCAGCCAACGTCACTACGACGTGTACAAAACTGAACAATGTTCCGTCACCTCAGTCTCTGACACCGCCCTGTACACAATCCGAAGATCCTGCTGGCACCGTTACAACGAGCAGCCCGCCTATTGCAGTTCCGGTGGCCATCAATCCAGTTGCGGTTTCTGGAATTACATCCAATTTAACAAATCAGAATGCGCTTTCGAGAGGTTTGCAGCAACAGCAACACCAGCAGCAGCACCAACAGCAGCAGCAACTTAGCCAAGTAACTGCAAGTCAGTTGACCACCGGTCAGATTCCGGCTTTTCTGGACAACGATCAACTTTTCCAGACGCTACTGAATAATATGCGATTGTTAGAGCGAAAAATTTCCATGGAAGCTGCAGAAGTTGCTGCAGCTGCAGCCGCTGGTGCGAATAAAACCGAAACTAATCATATACCAAGCGCATTTGTCGACGTTTGTAGTATGTAACTTATAAAACAGAGCATCACATTTTTACCATTTTTCCGAATTCATCATCTTATCGTCTGCAGTTAGTTTTAGTAGTTTTATGCAATTTGAAATGACTGGGAGTGCCCTGAAACTCTCTGTCGTACTCTGATACTCCGTTGGTATTCTTTTTCTGTCTCGCAGTAGTGATGTTACAGTTGTTTCATTTCACTGAGTCAAAATGTTAGTATGAGTTTAACTTTCCGGTGCGTAATGTAACCCCCGTGTAAAATAATTCAGACTAATTACGGGTGTTTAGACAGACTGGTTAGGTTTGATGGATCAACATTTATGAGATGCTTTTCTTCTTCGATTGCCTATTTTCTAGGCGGATTTGCCATTCCGCGTGACTGTCATTTCGAATGGTTTTTCCTGTAATGTGTTGATTTTTGCATTCCTTATTTTCCGTTGGCAGCTTAAAGTTATTGGTTCAGATGAGTTGCTAAACATCGCGGTGTTCTTGTTCTTTTTTGTTCGTGCTTTGTAAGTAGGCTCGTCTTTCAAATTGCTTCTCATCTGTTTTGTCCCGTTCCATTCTGTTCATTTAAATGATTATTATTCGCAAACTGAAATTGAGAAAATCAGTTTTTTCTTTTTTTCACAGTTTGCTGCTTCGGAATTAGAAAGCAAGATAAATGTTTAGAAAACAGATTTTCGGGAGAAATGTTTAGTTTTTTTTGGAAAAATTTTCAGTTTTCTCAGTCGTCATTTTTATTGTTTTCACCTTCATATTTTTACCGTTTGCCCTAGGTGCACGGTAACGATATCTGGGTAACGACACTGACTGGCGAACTGTCGGATGCGATACCGGGTAATGAAAGTGTTGTTGAAATTTGATAACTTCATCAAGCTGTCAACTACCTTGCTTCTCTGTATTTGCTCTTATTTTTTTCAGATCATTGTCACTCATCTACTCTCAATCCAAAAACATCATTTCATAGTTGCACAACCTCCACAACGTAATCCTCACTGCATATACCTCATATACATACATGTAAATTGTCTACCTAGAGGTTTTCAGTTAGCTAGTTTGTTGTGCAGTTTTTATGGAAGTTAACAAAAACGTATTGTTTGTGAGGTCATGTACGTATGTCTGTTCATTTTTTTTTAAACCAACGAAAGTCAGGAATTCACAAGTTCAGGAATATTTTTTTCGACCGCATTTGAAGCCTCAAATCTGGCATCGAATTCCAGCTATTCTTTTGTATCTTAACCAGAAAACATAAACTAATTTTAACAAAAGCACAATAATTCGAGAATGAAAGGAGCTATGTTTAGATTGTCCGATTAATGACTGCTAGTCCATATTTTATAATTTCAAAATAGGCCTGTGGAAATTTTGGCGCGCTACTTTATCAGATGATACAAAATGGACGGTCGAGGATTTTTGGACCTCGTTACTCTGACCCATATCTGTGACTTCATGCATAAATTGCAAATGACGATGTGCGTTTCGAATATAGTAGCCCGGTTGCCTGAACTTGGTACTTTTCATGCGCTGCTTTATCTAAAAAGTCGGAAAACTCGATCACCTTTGACGAGTTTTATTTATTAACGCAAAAATGCATGGCAGTGCTCCCTTCCTGAAAACTGTGCACCCTTATTTTTACGGTATTTTTATCATATGTTTTGTTATGTCATTTACAGTTAATCCGTTTTTGTTTTCTGCTGCAGAGAAGGAGAAAGGGTTGAAAGCCCTACCTCAAAACATTTACGCCTCAGAATCGTTTTTTGTATGATTTTTACTTTTATTTTGTTTTTGTTTACTATTTTCTCAAGCCGGTTTTCAGCAGAGTTGTACTGACCGGTAACTTCTTTGTTATTATTCCATTTCCGTTGCTTGCTTTTTTGGAGCGGAAAGTAAATCTTTTGATAGTTTAGATGAATTTTTTTGCATTATTAAGTTACGCTGCTGCACTGAATTTTTTCTGAGCTGCAGCTAAATCAGCGCACTTCCAATGGGTATGAAGCAAGCAGCTGAGGATATGAGGGAAATACTTCGTTGTATCGGCTGTCGAATTATAAATGCTCCTGCATTTTTATAAATTTCGAATATAAATGAGTTTTGGAAAAAACGGTCAAATTTTTTTGCATCCTGAAATGCAGATTTTTGAGCATGTGATTGCGTTCTGCATTCACTTCACCTGGTTTTTCCACTTTGTTAAGGGTTATGTTATTTTGGTGTTGTAGGCCTTGTCGTGTCGTCTAACTCAATACCGCTGTACTTCTTTTCTCTTATTTTCCAGTCAGATTTTGCGACTTCTACACATTACTGGATATTGTTATACCTGATCGTTTTCAGAGTTCTGTTTTCCTGTGGTTTTGTCCTCTTTACTATATAAAGTTATAAGGTTTCTTTCATTTTTGCATTTATTTGGGTCGCAGTTTCAACAGCTGAAATAAAATGGTGATAGGAAAAAAGCAACATGATAGTGCATGCCGCAAAAGCGCCAAATCGAAAAGGCCGAAGAGGAAAATGATTACATTTTAAATAATGTTGAGGTCACTTGCTAGGACACTTGCTTGCTGAAGTTGTTTTGACAACCTGTCTTGCTTGCTAGGGTCCGAATTCATAGCACGCAATTAGTAGCTGACAAAGAACAGTCCGTATGAGTAATTTGTTTTCCGCGCCAGTCAGTAGAATGTTCTGTGGGTTCTCTGCCTCGCAAGCAGTAATTGGAAAAGTGAAAATGCTGCCAGGAGTAACTGGTACTTGGTTTTTTTCATTGCGTTTTTTACATTTACATATTCTTATAAAAGATAGTGCATTATGACTTACAGTGATTTTCTGCATCAGAGTGATTGCTAAGGAAGCGTTCAGGTCCGTCTTGAGTAGGCACGAGACATGGTTTTGTTGAATTGGATTAAAAATGCCAATAGGTGTAGGGCTTCTGTGTATGACTGAAGAAAAGGGCTCAACTTTTGAAATGCACCCACTGCCGCAAATCGAGGGGTAAACAGGTCGACCACATCGCCGAGGGTTATGGCACAATATCATTTAACATCCGTTGGATATGCAAAACACACGTCAAATGATAGAATGGGATACGATATGGGGTGGCCGTAGCTTTTTAAATAAGGGAAATGGAGAAAAGAGAGATACCGAAATCAAGTTTTATCATCAGTGGGAACCGCTTATTGTGAATTATTTCCTATCATTCTATGATCTGGCATAATTTAGCAAAATTTGAACTGACTTCAAAATCATACAAATTTACAAATTGCGACTTAGCTATAGCCTAAAAAATTTCGAATTTGGAATCCCTCGTAATTATAAAATTCGACTCGAGTTTGTTATCTCTGGCAGTTAGTTTGCGGTGGACATCCAGAAAATGCAGCGCCGTCGTAAAGTTATATGCTTTGTAATCCGTTTGGATGTATTTAGCACTAGTCGATTTACAAATTCTGGTTCTTCAGGACACGCATGAGCTTACTGTCTACTTTCGTTGAAACCACTGACTGCAACGTTTCCCTCACTGTTTAAAAAAAGTCGCCAAAAATAAATCAGCTTAAAAAAACATTTCTCTCCACATGCCGCACTTCATTTATATAAGCAGCAATTTTTAGGATATATACAAAGCCTAGGGTAAAAACGGTTTACTAAGATACACTTCAGAGCCAGATTTCTGCCTGACTTAGCGTAATCTCCAGTTACATACTCTGGAGCATATTGACTTTCTGATCCAGGCAGATACTTTTATATCTGCCCGAGGCCACAGAATTAATTTTATTCAATTTTAATAAACGCAGTAGCACAGATTTAGTAGGCTTTGCTGGGCCAGTTGGCATACTGTTGAGGCCATCAAGTCGTATGGCTTAGCAAAACAAGCATTATTTTCGCACTAGCTGGTGCGCGACTTTAGGCTCATGTTCAAGCTATTAGGAATTGGAATTAGAATCTCATCACTACCTGGGCAAAAGGTACATTTCCGCAAGGCGGTTGGTGAATCTGCTGTTGCTTGCAGTGCCGCATTACATCACTTTGCTTGCCTTGCCATCACGGCATTTCAAATTAATACCAGTGCTAACTTGTTTATTAAACACAGGAAACTATGACGGTAATTGCTGCTGCATGAAAACTGCAGGCCTTAGGAAAAGTGCAAAATAAGAGCAAGCAGGCCTTTTATACGTGATGAAAACGTTTTTTCCGAAATTCTTTTGGCTTAATGCACTTGTGTTATTTTGTAAGAAAAGGAAAAGGGAACGATCGATAATCCGGCTCTGATCACGCCACACTCGGATATTTGCTTTGTTTTCTGGATGTGTTAATGAAATGAGATGCGCAACAAGATTTAGGTCATTTATCATGATTCCAATAGAGGAAAACACGCCGGGATCCAGTGAAAGAGATATCAGCGATATGTGTGAAAGAGACCATCAAGTATTGTCCTAACATTATCAGTGGCGACCACAAATGAAGTAAACTGGAGCTGGCGCAAGGAAAAGGAGGATTTTCCGAAAATTTCCAGAATTTCAGCCTATCGTCCTTTGCCCACTTACCGCGCCTACGCGTAACGCCGTTCCCACCCCCAACGAGAACAATAGAAAATTTATAATTTTCACCTCCTTTTCAAATTATCCGTCTCATTTCTTCCTTCTTTGCTCATCGAACCAGTACGCACCACTTATCAGCGGCAATCGAATTTGCAGTTCAGCTTTAGCAATAACAAATAGCTGCCTGCAAGCCCATATCTCCAAGTAAAAAACTGTCGTCAAATTTTGGGTATGTTAATTCATTTTTACCCTGATTGTGCAGAAATTCTTTTTGCTTTTAGTGCCGCTGATTTCTCGACTAAATGAAGTCAGTACTAACTCTACTGAAGAATAGACTGGTGATTTTTTGATTTCTTACACGTAGCAACTGCAAATGTGCAGGAGCGGCTATCAGAACAGTTTTGTTTTCATCCATGTGTGCAATTCAGTAGAGAAGGCCAGCCAAAAGCTCAAAGTCACAGCGTAGCTTGGGTACGGCGGAATGTTCCTGGGATGGCAGGAAGATTGAAAAATGTGCATGGACAGTGGCCTTTTTACAATCAAAACTGCAGTACTATGATCGAACTTCAGTTCATCTCCTGGAGTGCATTTAAAAATACCGGCTTCGTATACATGCACTTGAATTGTAGCGAAACCCGAAAGCTGACAGAGTACGCAAGACATCTCGAAGAATTGGGTAGAGGCAAAAAAGGACTGCTTCTGAATACAGCAGGCATGTTGAGGACCAACATTTATGGGATACTACATTCAACGGTAATATTGCTGACACTGGCTCCATCGGAACATTCGCTCTTGTTCGGCGGTAGTAGCTGCTGCTGTAGCTGTGGTCTTCCTATGCCTGCTATTTGCGGCTGTCAGCCGCAGCTGGTCAGTTTGCTTCACACTTTCTTATTATCGTTCCTAAACTTACTAGAAGTTTTCTTTATGATTTTTTTGTCGATTTGCTATTGGTTTTAATTAAACGACCACAGGTTTCCAGCTAATCTGAAAGGATTTGCACTATCGCTCAGTTATAATTAGGTGCATAGTCGAAATTCTCGAAAAGACGGCACATTTTGAAAATTTTAGTGAGGAGGACAATTTTAGCAACTACTCTAAAAAAAATCTTCAATGATCAACAATTTATGAAAAAAAAAGTGATAAGTGTTAAAATAGGTATGAAACAGTGAATAAAGATTTAAATATTGTAATACTGCAGATTGCTGCAAATTTTCCGCAAAATGTTTTTCGAAAAAAAAAAAAATGAGTTGGCTTTATTTGTACTTTCAGCACTGCTAATTATATCGGCAAAGCAGGGGAACCCCATTCTCAATTAAATTTCAAGGACTTGCCATTTGCTTTTGTTGAAATTATTTCAAAAAATTGAAAATTACGAATATATTCTAGCCGGTCTGCCCGCCACCATTGCCCTGTCCAGCTCCAGCATGTCCAGTGTGTCAAGTATGTCCAGCACCACAGCCTTGTCCGCCACCACCGGTTGCTGTATGTCCTGCTCCACAACCAGTTTACGTGCAACCTAACTGTGGTTGTAGCGGCGGAAACGCAGGTGGAGGCAGCTACCAAGGCGGTAAGTTTTCGTCCGTGACTTTTTATGCGTTTGTCGCTGTAGTACAAAACGCGCTCTAACAGTAGTACAAAACGCGCTGTGTCACCGGGTTTTCTGTGTGTTTTGTCCAGCACTTTCAATTCAGAAACCACAAAAACTAGGCAGCTGAAAATTCAGTAGAGTGTTTTCCGTCCACGTGCGACCCCGTAGATTTTAAATTCGAAGGCGACACGTACGGTCCGTGAAATTTTTGAAATTTTTGATAGGGGAAATTACACTCTTAGGAACTACGAAAGCTGAAATTTTTTGTGGGTAGGCCCTCTGCCCACGTGCAAGCCAGAAAGTTTAAATTTAGCTTTCCCATGCGCTTGGGTATAAATACGGTTCCATGAAAGTTTCGACGGAAAAATTATTATCCCGGGAGCCATGAAAACTAGGAAGCTGAAATTTGATGAGAATGTTTCCTGCCCACGTGCGACCCGTAAATTCAAAATCAGCTTTCAGTTAGGCCTGGGCCTCCATTACGTCTCGCAGAAGTTTTGGCGGGAAAAATTACTCACTCGGGAGCCGTAAAAGATAGGAAGCTGGAATTTTAAGAGAACGTCTTTTGCCCACATACGACCTCGCAGAATAAAATTCAGCTTTCACGCACACTTGAGTCTTTTGTGCGACCCCGCAAAAGTTTTGGTGGGAAAAATTATTTCGGGAACCAGAAGAGTTGTGAGGCTGAACTTCGAGAGTATGTTTTCTGCCTGTGCAGGTACCTCACAAACTCAAATTTAGCTCCCAAGCATGCCAAGATATTACGTACGACCACCTGAGAGTTTTGATGCGGAAGTCACTAGTTCGAAATCCGGAAAACTGGGAGATTGAAATTTGGGGGATATTCCCCGTCCAAGGTTTCAAATTCAGCCTACATTTACCAGCATGTGAAATTTTTAGTGGGAAATTCCTAAGTTTAGGAACCAGACAGTATATGGGCCATTTTTTCCACACACGGAAGAGTAAAATAGTTATATTTTTATCAGGCAAACGTCCGCTGGACGGAACTGCGTAAAACACATGATTACACCAGCTACCCTTCTAGATTAGATTGAAGTGGGGGTATTTTGATCGGGCAATCACTGCTCAGTTTCTAAATATATTAAACGTATTTCTTATCAGCGCTTCCTGCTGAAAAAGCCTGTAGCCATCATCAGTCAGCTCGGTATGACTGAGCACTTTGCGAATGATGAAGAAAAACAAGGTAAAAATCGATGCTCCACAGTAAGCTCGCTGACAATTATTTTGGGTATTATCCATTATACCGTAATTCACTTGGAATCCGACTTGCTCTCGCTGTCGCTGTTTTTTAAGGAGTCCATCGACCGGTCGTTACTCTCTCTCATACTCACGGAAAAAGCTAAATAATGGAGAATAGTCAAATCAGGCTGCATTTCTCTAAACCTTTTTATCACGTTCTGTGAGAAACAATATATTTTTTGGTTCTCCTTAGCTGTTATTGTTTTATTAGTTGCCGTTAGGCTGCGCGGCGAAATCTTCCTGCAGTTCGTTACCCTCAGCTACACTGAATTATTACTCCCGAGAGTTTCTGAGCCTTACATCTGGAAAGCTGACTCTCGTATCCTTGGTTGATCAATAGGGAGGACCTATTAATTTAGTGGAACGTTGAAGGATAGCTATATAACGAAAATGAATGAACTGCACAAGATTTGTCCGGGTTTCTTCGGTCCTTACTTCGTCGTCTTTTCATCAGCGTTAGTCCATGTGCGTTTCTGATGTCTCTTTTCATTTTTTTGACTAAACAAGCAATAAAAATGCACTTCCCATGGTTCACTTTTCTATGCGTGTTTTCTGGCATTTTTTTTTTGTCAAGTTAGAGATAATAAGTTAGTAACCAAAGTCAGGGCAGTGTTATATTTTGCAAGTTGAAGAATTTTCTCAGTGAAATCTTTATAGCCTTTACTGCCACAAATCAGTGTCCATTTTTACGCGTTTTTTGCAGCAATGCAATGCGAAAAACGCATATTGACGAGAGGTTGTCTGTGT